ACTGCAACAACATTCCCAATGGCTGGAGATAATCACCCACCTTATAGTGTGGAACAACATCCCAATCTTATCCATCATTTCATACGCACCATGAACAATTCATGTACACCCCACCATCAACAATAACTCCAACAGGGGACTTCATAAGCAATCTTTTCGGCGTCGACGTACACACGCCACAAAGTGCATATAATTACATGCAAAGCATAAACTTCCCTTCATTTTCGTCTTATCACTCTGAGGTCGGTGGAAGTGGTTCGTCAAATCCAGTCACCGATACTGTTAATATAGAACATGACGGGGACCAAGTTGAACCACAACAACCATGTATTGGTCGTCGAAACCCAACAAGGAACCGACAACCTCCGAGATGTCGAACGAGTGGACATAGACATCATTAAAGTTGGATTGTAATTTCCTGGATTGTAATTCTGTTATTGTTCTTTTTTATTCAATCTCCTATTTTATGGTCGTATTTTGTTTTTATTTCAAGTTGTTCATCTCAATTAATGTTATTTTTATTTAAAGTTGTGATTTATCATAATATTTTCATTTTTAAAAATTATATTTTAAATTAATTTTATTAAATTTTATTTTAAATACATTTTTACAATCTAAACCAAAAACAAAAACTAAATAAACTTTTTAAAAATTCATTATAATTTTTTTAAAAAATCTAAATATTATAAACTGAAAAACAAAAAAAATTAGAAATCTGGAAAAAAATATTCAAAAATCAAAAAAACAAAAAACAAAAAACAAATAAATGAAAAAAAAATAGGCCCATTGAGAATTTCTCAAAGGAATTTTTCAAAATTTTTCAAAAATCTATTTGAGAAATCGGTTACCTAGTAACCGATTTCTTATCTAAATTTCTAAATGGGTTATTTAGGTAAATATAAATGCATTCAGGTTATTTAAGTAATTTAAAAAAATGATATATTAAAGAAAAAGTCCATAAAATACTACTACAATTTCTCGCAATACAGAGCCCTCAATAACTAAAAACATTAGAAATGCAAAATTGAGAAAATGTCACAATTAACTATCGACACATTTATATAATATTGTGTCAGCATATTCAAAACGATATTTACCAGGCATGTCATGATATGCGCTCCATACACCTATATCGTGTCACAATTAAATTTTTTTTGTTCAAACACTTCTCTAACACAACCTTCTCTAACACAACTTTAACACCTTTCTAATATGATTTGAATACAAATTAAGAGAATGAATCAACTCATATTCTTAGCTAAATTCTTATCTAATACTTCTATTATAAAAAAATTAAAAAGTCAACCTATTTATAAATATCGTAGGACTCATAACATTTTTTTTTTATATATCTTGAGACTCATTTTAATATGAATTAATATTCGGTATTTTAACTTTTAAGATATATGATTCATTATATATATATATATATATGTTGTGTGCCTGTGTCTTACCTTTTAGACCTTAGTCATATCATGATGTCCGTGTTCGTGTTAGGTCTATGTCAAAGTTGATGCTTTATAGGTTACAACAATGTCAAAAGAGAACCTCAACAACGATATTGCTTTATATCAACCAACCCAAGAATGCATTTGTGTACGAGTGTGTAACCTCTCCAACTTGGCAATTCATTCTTAAATTTAAACACCCATTTCTCTTTTGTATGTTATGTCTCTCCTACAGAACTAGAACTGTCTAATATTTTGTAGAGGATACACACTTACTACATACTTTCAAGATGCTGAAAATTAATCCAAATGTCAATGGTAGGGGCAGACTAGAAGCGGCCGGTTTTAGCCACTCCTGAACTTCTATAAATAGGGATTGTGGGCAATTGAGGAGAATGAGAGGTTTTAGAGAGAATTTCTAGAGAGAAGGACTCTGGTCTGTGGGCTCCTTTCTCTCTCTAATTTCTCTGTATGATTCTTCTTCTCCTCTTGACCACTAATGTCTTCTGTCTTCTCTTGAATTTCAGACTAGAAATCTTATTTTTGGAGGATTGAAGTTCAAGAGTCAAGCTTGGAGGATATTTCTTCTTCTTCTTCTTCTTCTTCTTCTTCTTCTTCTTCTTCTCAGATTCTTGGCTTTTTAGAGCCAATCTTTAAGTAAGGGAAGCTAGATTGTATGTTGTTTGGTTATATGTGAGTTTAGGAACTCATATGGAGTAAGAATGTTGAGAATCATTGATTGATTTGAGAACTTTCTCATTTTTTGGGGTTTTGGGAAAAATGGGATTTTTGATGATTTTGATGTGTTGAATCTGAGTTCCTTTTTGAACTGTATGAAGCTTATATGTTGTGTAATTGATGGAATTAAGTTGTTCACATGTTGTTAAAATTATTAAAGTTGTATAGTGATATAGTTGAATAGAAAGTTTTCAAGCTGGTATATAAGTTGCCTATTGTTGTATTGTTGTAAGTTGTCTATTGTTGTAAGAGGTCTATTGTTGTAAGAGGTCTATTGTTGTATTGTTGTAAAGTTGTTTATTACCGTAAAGTTGTAAAGCTTCCTATTGTTGTAAAGTTGTTACAATGCCTATAGTTGTAAAGTTGTAAAGTTGTTTATTGTCGTAAAGTTGTAAAGCTGCCTATTGCTGTAAAGTTGTTATGATGCCTATAGTTGTAAAGTTGTAAAGTTGCCTATTGTTATAAAGTTGAAAAGTTGGGGACATATGGTGAAGATATATGTCCTATGTTGAGATACACAGTACTAAGGAGATAAGTTGAAAGTTGTTTTAAAGTTGAATCCCTTAGTACTGTGTGGGCGACATGAAAGTAGTTGATCCATGTCATGGTTGAATGACCAATTTGAGTAAGGTATCTAGTTAGAGATGTAGTCTTTGACTAGGTACTGGAAGGTGCGTGGTACTTGGAGGACAGTGGGTGAGCTAACTCCATATGTGGATTGGTAATGCTAGCCAAAGCTGTGGTAGGCTCATATCCAAACCCTTCTGTCCTGACAGCAGTACTGGACCTCCGAGTCTAAGTGGCACACCTGAGCAATCATCTATAGTTGTCTATACCTGGTTCTCTTCGGAGTTCCTAACGATGTCTTATACCTGACCTAATTGAGATAGGTCAAACGCTAGATTCGGTAGGGTTTATGCCACCTAGACTATTCAACCTCAGTTGTTGGAGATCTCCTAATTGTATATGCGTGACGACGCATTAAATATTAAGTTGTATATTATTGTTGTTATTGTATTAAAGTTGCTTCTAAGTTGTATGAATGAGTTGGGTTTTTATGTTAAACTGTATGGTCGTTTGTGATGATGATTGAATGAATGAGTAGTATAGTATTTTCCCTATACTAGTATGGCTGTTTATTGAACTCTAGCTTACCCTTCTGTTTCCATGTGGATGGACTGTTATGATCATACTGTGTATGGGAGCAGATCAGGGCTAGGTTGGAGCTGTTGGTTGAGTCCATTGCTAGAAGTGGAATTTTTTTGGTTCTTAGTGTCAGAGTTACCACCTTTGGTAACAGTTTTGTGCTTGACCGACGCTAGGAGATAGTAGTTTTGGATAACTATATAAATATCTAATATTTAAAAACTTAATCATTCTTATATATTTTCCATGTTTTTTGTATTTGAGTTATCCAATTTTATTATTTATCTTAGTTCATTGTTTTTAGTGCGATTCCACTAAGTATAGGAACCATAGCGGATCGTTACATTCAAAGTTCTAAAATAACAACTACAACATAACATCATAAAACAAATATATATATATATATATATATATATA